ATTGTTAGCAAAAAGTTCAGGTGGTCTAACTTTTTCACCCAGCCTTTTCAGCACTTCCAAATAGTGAACTTGGTTAACTGTCTGTCCAGTTGATACAAATTCATCATGAATAATCTTTCTGATATCCAAAAAAGGTTAGCAACATTGTTGCAACAAGTTCACAAATTTAATTGTCCAACCTCGTACTGTAATGTATGCAATGGTCTTGCAGTTGAAGAACTGCTCAATGTCTGGCATGACTTTTTTTTTAGCTTTATTGAGGTGTAATTGATATATGGAAAATGACACACATTTAATGTATATATAGTTTAAGGAGTTTGGACACATACAAATACTTATGATACAACTACCACAATCAAAATACTAAACATATCTATCCATCACCTCCCAAGATTTTCTTTTGTTCTTTTTTTGTTATTGTTTGTTTGTTTGTGGGAAGAACACTTAACATGAGATCTATCCTCTTAACATTATGCTAAATGAAATAAGCCAGTCACAGAAGGACAAATATTGCATGATTCCACTTATACAAGGTATCTAAAGTAGTAAAACTTGCAAAAGCAGAGAATAGAATGTTGGTTGCCAGAAGTTAAGGGGAAGAGGAAGTGAAGCCTTGTTGCTCAATGGGTATAAAGTTTTAGTTGTGCAAGATGGATAAGTTGGAGAGATCTGCCGTACAGCATAGTACCTATAGTTATGGTATTGTGCCCTGCATGACTTTCTAATGCCCCACCAGACTTTCCAGGAAGTAAAACACTGGTTTCTACTAGCCTGAACTTAGAACCTAACACATAGTATTTTGGGGAAGGCTTTAATTTCCCACTGAGTTTCCTAGAATAAAACCATAGTGTAGTGCGGGAAGATTGAACTTTATCTTGTTCAGAATTTTACCATTTCAGAAAATCTTGTCACTGACTCACAGTACCTGTCAGAGAGGGAGCACATCTGCATGGGTTCTGTACTTGGAGCCATTGGACTCACAGTGACTCTGATATTGGTTCAATTATCCAACTGCCTTATTATATCTTCTATTGTTGTCAGTCATCTCTGAGCATTTGGTGTTGGGATGCATATTATTTTATCAAGAGATGACTTCACTTCTATTTTTTTCAAGATATTACTGTTAATAATAGTATCACTTTTCTGAAAACGTATACAGGTAGGCAAGTTTTATTATGATGATTTTTCCGCACTAAATAGAAAAGAGGAAAACACAAGCATTTGTTATAAAGGGAACCTTGAGTCTGATAGGATTGTGACTAATTCTCAAACTCACAAACTCATTCCCATGTTACCTTCAAGATTTGCCACTTATTTCCATGTACCTCCTGAACTATTGCTTTACTTAATGTTTTTCTTTAAGTTGAGTTACTTTAAAAAAAACAAAAACAAAAACACCTCAAAATGCAAACTAAAGAAAACTAAATCACTACCCTAAATGGAAAACCAGGACCACAAGGCTCAAATACAAGGTAATCATAAATATGCCATGAAAACATCATGATTTAACTTTTTAAAATAATAAAAAAGTATACTGTAAAATCTAAATAATAAGTCTAACTGATTATATTGTGCCAAGCAGCAATATGTTATTTTATTTAATTTTCCCAAATAGCACTTCAAAGTAAGTATGAACTGTCTTGCATTTGCAGATGAGGGAACTGTGATGCAGAAAAATGATTTGAACACAGGTCTATGTGTTATGTGATAGACGGTCCTCACTTGTCATTTTCCCAGCAACCACCACTTGTTCATTTCTTCACCCACTAACACACTTTACATATCTTTATTTTCACATTCTT